TGGAACGCAACCAGCTTTCCCTTACGGAGGAGGGAATCCGCAGGCAACTGTGCCTAGTCCGGAAGACAACACTGTCAGCCTTTTCAGGCAGATGTTGCAAGTCCAGGATAAACAGATCCGAGCTCAGTAGGGCCAGATTTCGCAGCTCACCGAGATGGTGAAGACGCTCACCGTTGCAAGTGCGAATGCTGCAAGTTCGGCCGCAAGTGCAGCTCCTGTGCTGCAAGTTCGTCCCAAGGGAAGCCCGCTGAAGCTCCACGTGGACCGCTTACCGCGAAGAACTGACCTTCTGGCTGTGTCTTTTAGACGACCGCTACGCGGAGGAACTGCAAGAGGCTGTGGAGAGCGGTGCAGGTTCAGCAGATCAGCCTCTCAAAGGGGAAGGCCGCTCGTTCCACTAAGCTGTGGGACCTCTTGAAGCAGGCTCTCGCTGGTTTTCAGCAAGGAGTTGACATAGCCAAGCTTGTCGAGTTGAGTCAAGGCGGTGCCGCTGCAGGGTACGACCTCTGGCGTGAGTTGAACAAAGAACTGTCTGTTAGGTCTCGTGTGGAGGGACAGGCGCTCAGAGAGCAGGCTCTCTTGATCGCGCCACCAAAGCACTTGAGACGGCCATTGGATATTTTTCGCCATATGATTTCTGATTTTGCTCGCTACCGCACGCTCGTTGCCAACAAGTACCCAGACCTTGAACTGCAGCAGGCTGATGTTATCAGCTGCATCTTGAAGCACCTTCATGATGATTGCAAGAAGTACCTTTTGTTGCATGGGTCTTTGACAACCTTGGAGCAGCTTGAGCGCGGTTTGGTTTTCTATGATGAGCAGCTTCGTGTTTTGAACTTTCACAAGGAAGCCTCGAACGCCAAGGGCTTTGCAGCTTTTGGTGGTGACCGTTCTGAAAAGGGTGAGCCCAAGGGTGGCGAGCCCAAAGGAAAAGATCATGGAAAAGGCCAAGGCAAGCATGGTGATAAAGGCAAAGGCAAAGACAAAGGAGGAAAGGGAAATGACAAAGGCAAAGGTGGCAAGAAGGGCGGAAGGCCACGATCTGCAACGCCGGCTCCTGGAAAGAAGAAGCCGGGCACTTGCAATTACTGCCACAAGCCGGGCCATTGGGCCAACGAGTGCAGGAAGAGGATTGCCGATGAGAAGGCTGCTGCGACAGCAGCGGCGGCAACAGAGAGTGCCGCTCCCAAGGTGGCCCCTCCTGCACCTCCCTCGAATGCTGCGCCAGCTCCCACTGCTCCAAAGGGTGCCGGGAAGATTGGCAAGGCGGCCCTCCTTATGTCGTCATTGTTGCCCGCGGCAGGGCAGATTTCTGAAGCAATGCCTGAGAGGGGACAGTTTTTCACCATGACTGCCTTGATTTTCACGTTTTTCATGTTTTGCATGGTAGGATGCTTGATTTGTCGGTTGGTTGCATGCTTGAGTAGCCCACGGCAGTCATGTTTCACGTATGCTTGCGTAGCCGTAGCAGTGATTGCTTTGAGCCTTGCTTCCGCGCCGCAGCCTCAGCTTCGGGATCGGTCTTCAGAGTGCCTTGCTTTTCCAACCTTTGGCACTTCCTGCAGTCACTAGGGACGACCCCTCGTATCTCTTGATTGATAGCGGTGGGAGTGTTCACCTTGTTTCGCAAGACATGCTTGGAGTGACTGCGAAGCTGATCCGAGAGCTTGAGGTTGAGCCTCTCTTTGTAAGTGTCGCCAACGACCAGACTATGGAGATAACTAGGTATGGGTTGCTAGAGCTTTGGTTCCCTTGTTTCGAATCGGGGCCCTCTGGAACCCAAGCTTACAGAGAGATTCGAGTGCAGCTGGAAGCGTATATTGCCCCCAATTCGATAAGCATCCTTAGCTCAGGCATCTTGCAGTCTTTAGGCTTTAGGATCTTTCATTATGACTATGATCCTCAGTTACATGTTGCCTATCCTCCGGGTGGTCTGCGCTTTGAGACAGAATTGTATGCCAACACGTCGTGGCTGAAAGCTTGTACCTACGTTGAGCCTGATTCTACTGATGGTTCCGTGCAGTCGGTTGAGAAGGGAAGCGTGAGTTCTGTTGTCCCGTCTCACCCTGTAGGTGTAGGAGTAGGGCTTGAAACCGTAGGAGCGCATGTTGGTCGGTCGGTCGCTTCGTCTCACCTAGCCCACTCTTGCTCTGAAGGCCCAGTAGAACCTGTAAGGGACGATGGCTGGGTCCGACCACGAGATGGACCAGGACATGGAGAACTCGATCTTCCGGGTTCAAAGGTTGCCGGCGGAGCAGACGGAGCTCTCCAACGACGTGGCGCTGCCGACTCCGGTCTCTTCCCCGGAATTGTCTCCTCACCTCACAGAGCCGGCCTTGCCGACATCAGAGGTGGAAGAGAGTCCGCCGATGAGTTTTGCGAGCCTTTTCGAAAGCAGCCCGGTGGAGCCGCCGAGTCCGTTGATTCTGCCAGGATCGGAGACTTCTCCCCGCGGCGCTCTTACGAAGGCTGGTGCCAAGGCACTGGCCAGGCAAGACTCTCCAGACAGCCCGGTCGTGGCTACTCCTGTGTACGCATGGCGTGGGAAAGTGGCTCCTCTCAAGCCACCCATGCCAGAGCCGGATACAACTCCTATGCCTCCCGTGCCGGAGCCGAACACGGTCCCTATGAGCGTGGAAGCACAGGAGGAGGAGACGGACGAGGACGAGTGTTGGGGCAAGTGGAGTCGAGCACCACAGCCTCCAACATTGCTCCTGGCTCGGGTGCGCCCGCAGCCAGCTCCCAGGGCGCCGTTATGCAGGAGAAAATTGCGGATCTAGCCCAGTTCAGGCAGCGAGCCAGCGAAAGGAGGCAGGGGGTGTTATCCGCGATACGTGGGGCACAGCAGCCTGTGACTCCACCGAAGGCCCCAGGCTCAACAGCTATGGTGCCAAGTACGCCCCCAAAGGGGCCAGCCACACCACCGAAGTCTCCGATTACACCACCAAAGGGGCCAACCACACCGCCAAAGAGTCCGCCAAAGAGTCCGCCAAAGGCCGCGCCAGCGCCGCCCAACATCTGGACAGCACCACCTCCACCGAGGGCCGCTCCGAAGGCTGCCGCTCCAAAGGTTCCAAAAGCAGCGGTTCCAAAGCCGCCGAAGGGTCCAAAAGCAGCGGTTCCAAAGCCGCCGAAGGGTCCGAAAGCAGCGATTCCAAAGCCGCCGAAGGGCACGACTACAACAACGCCGGCTCCTTTGACAACGCCGGCCCCTGTGGCAACGCCGGTGGCAACAACAACACCTCCGGTGGCGACGGTGGATCCTGTGGTGCCGACGCGCCACATGCCTTTTTCGGCCATAGAAGGAGTGCGCCTCGGCTTCATGGACACGGAGGATGCCGCGACCTTCGCCCGCAGAGCGTCCCTTGCAAAAGCAGCAGCCTCAAAGGAGAAGGGGAAGGCCCCGAGACCACCGGCGCCACCGCCGGCGCCACCGTTGGTGGAGAATACGCCGGAGCCTCCTCGAGTTCCAGCTCAAAGGTCGGTGCCAGCAACAATGCAGATGCAGGTTCCCATGCAGATTCCGGTGCCCATGCAGATGCACGTGCCCCCGCAGATCTTCATGGATTACCGCTACAGGCCCTATCCGGCCCGACCGACCACAGCACCGAGGCCGAGTACAATACCAGTGGCGCCGAGTTCAGCGCCGATGCCAACGCCCACAGCAGCGCCTTCTCTCCGGGCGCCATTTCCAACATCAAGGCCGTCGTTCATGCCGCCGGCAGCCACACCAAGGCCTATAGCAAAGAAGCTGATGCCGGCATCCAAGCATGCGCCAAAGCCACGAGCGGTGGTGGGCGTTCACTACACCATCGAGATGCCCACGCCAGAGGAAATATTTGTGGCGCCGCCGACCAGTTTGGCAACGGCAGCGAAACCGGCACCTTTGCCTCCTCCGCTTATAGACCTCGAAGAGGTCGAGGCAATCAGCAGCGACAGCGACCTGTAACTTTAGCCGCTCTTGAGCAGCAGCCAAAAGAGAGAGCTCGTGAAGTTCTCTTGCAGAGTGCCGCTGTCAGAGAAGTGCCGCCGGTAGGTTGCCCAGCGTGTGTTCAGCTAGGTAGTCCAGCTTGCGTGCAGGTAGGTTGCCCAGCTTGTGTTCCGGTAGGTAGTCTAGCTTGCGTGCAGGTAGGTTGCCCAGCTTGTGTTCCGGTAGGTAGTCTAGCTTGCTTGCAGGTAGGTCGTGCAGCCTGCGTGCCAGTAGGTAGTTCAGCGTGCATGTCGGTCGGTCGCCCATTGCTTGATTCAGGTGATGTGGGTGGTGCCATTGGTGTTGAAGAGCTAGAGCAGCTTTTTGATGATGATGGTGATGACCGTGAAGGGTTAGAGAGAACCACCCCGAACAACACCAAACCCCCGGTAGACCCTGAAGAAGCTCTCCCCGAAAACATCGGTGCCGAAGCTAGATTGCGCCACCAACGTCAGGGTCATACCCCCTACTGGGGTGGCTGTCCTAGCTGTGTAAGATCTAAAGGGCTCTCACCCGCCCGAACACGCAAAAGTGTCGACCCACTTGAGGTGCAGATGGATCAATACTGGTATCGAGGCATCCGTTTGATCGCTGTGGTGCACGTACCGACGTATTGTGTAGGCACAGCTGCTACCTATGCAGGAGATTACCGAAAAGTCACAGTGGGGAAGCTAGTCAAATTCCTCAAATCATTCGGTCTCACAGAAGTTCATGTTGTACATGACGGGGAACCGCTTTTAGCAGCCATAGCAGCCGAGGTTGTTGAGGTTACAGGTGGGAGTTCGGTTTCTACCAAAACCTCTCCTAGCAGGCACGCCCCGGTAGCTGAGAGAGCAATCCGCACGCTTAAAGAAACCGCTTTGGCCAACGAGCTTCACGCCAAGGGCGTGAGTGGCTTGAAATTGTTGGCAAATGAGGAAGCGATGGAATTGCTTCACAGCCATGCGGCTGCTTCACACAACCGGTTCGGAACGTCACAGGGTCAACTGTTGAGTCCTTTGCAGCGAGCTTTGGGTGAGAGTCACACGCCTCACTTGTTGTTCCCTTTCGCGGAATCTGTTGAATCCTTTGTAGCCTCCTCGGAATCCTCCACAACCTTTCTAGCCGAATCCGTTGTAGCCTCGGGTTCCTCCACAACCTTTGTAGCCGAATCCGTTGTAGCCCCGGGTTCCTCCACAACCTTTGTAGCCGAATCCATCGTAGCCTGGGGTTCCTCTGCAACTGCGGAATCCTCAGCAGCCTCGGAATCCTTTGCAGCCCGAAGATCAACCAACCTCTTCAAAGAGACGTCACAGCTCCCAGTAGCTTCACCCTCCAGGTCCACCGGGGCCGGCTCTCCATCCGCCTCCTGCCAGCTCCGAGCCGCTGCATCGACATCGTACAGCTGGGTCTCCACACGACCTGGGCATTGGCTGCATTTATACCCACTACTTGTAATTAAGGGAATGGGCTCAGGGTTCTTCCGGGTTTCCAGTTTTGAATAAGCTAGGACTATTATATTATATATATAATTGTTTATTTATCTATATATATATATATATGTATATATATATATATATACATGATAATCTCTATGGTTTGTTGTAGGGTTTGGGGTTTCGGGATCCCGCATATCTGTCGGTGCATGCAGATTGAAGCTGCAAGGAGAGGACGAGGTGGTTGTAGACCACGTTTCTAGCTCTAGCCAACACAGGACTAGCCTAGGGTTTTAAGGGGCTTTACATTCGTGTGGGTGTGATTAAGTTTCGGGATTCTGGTGTTCTGGTTTGGCATTTATAAATTGCTACAGCTTGGGTTGACATGAGTTTGTAGGAGTGTGCAATGCATGTAAAGTGAAGGAGAGGAGGTTTTGGTCGATTCGGAGTCTTCCGTGTTCCCTCGGTTAAGGAGTTTATGTAGGCGTAGAAAGGGCTTCAAAACCAAGTGGCTGGGATCGTGGTGAGGGCCACAATCATGGCGGAAGCTGGTCTTGGCCTGGATGTCGCGCTTCTGCTGCTTCCTGGGCGGAACATGGATCATTCATCTTTATTTACACCTTTTCTGTGAACTGCGACATGTGACTGAAGCAAACAAAGCACAGTAACATTCTCTCCCACACACACACAGACAAACATGTGCCTGTATAAGAACTGATAAATGCATAGAAAGGCTCAGTTGCAAGAGTCGCTGCTTCAGCTGGTTGAGGTGCTCTTGACGTGTCACAGCTCTAGCCGGTGTGGGAACCGGTCTCCTAGGGACCTCTTCGTCATCCGAACACACAATCAGCTCAGGCTGCACAGATGCTGCAGCCGTCGAATCCAGGACAGGATTGTTGCCAGACATGTGCCCCGAAACCTGAAGTGTAGGTGGCTCTGCACTGGAATCCTTCTCAGCCCCAGCATTGTCTGCGTGCCCCGAAACCTCAAGCGTAGGTTGCTCTGCATTGGAATCCTCATTCTCAGCCCTTGCATCGCCTGGGTGGCCCGAGACCTCGGGACTGGCGGGACCAGAAACCTCTTCATCACATGGCTCATCTTCATCGTCGAGCCGTCCATTGACGAAAGGTACAAGGTCATCCCCTAGCCCCAGTAAACCATCATCATCCTCATCCATCGGGTCCTGAGGCTCAGAGAAGCGGGAGAGACTATCAGGGTTACTACAGGGTTTACACGAAACATGTCATCAAACGACACCTTGCTAGGGTCCTCTTCATCATCACTGTCCAACTCGGCCACACGGTCAGGGTACCATGCTTCAAGCAAGATTTTCTTGAGCTTCCGGTTGTTCGGGTCCTTAGTTGGATGCTTACGACTTGGAGTCGGGATGCACAAATTAATATGGCAAATCACGGATTGTCAGCCTAGAGTCACGTGGCTTGGTCGTCTGCGCCAAGCGCTTGATGAAGAAGGAAAGAAACTTCCGAAGTCCCCACGAATCACACTGAATCTCACCCTGGGTAGATTTCTGGCCGACGAGCTCCCAAACCTTCTTCACCTGGAAGCTTAAAAGTCAGCTGCTTAAGCTATCAGGTTGGCTGCAGAACAGGAGAATCTAAGAATCCCCGGCCTCTGCCGTCAACGAAGTTACTTTTGGTGACTTTGGAGCTGCAGTGTTTGCCGCCCACAGTCGGAACAATGGGTCCAAGGTGTTATAGTTCAGCGAAGCACTAGAATACGTCGGCACACCGATCACTGCTGGCTTCGGCCACTTTAGCAGGAAGCGGTCCAGCAACAAACGTCGTCGGGTAAGCTTGCATTCCTCCCATGAGGAGGCCAGGCCTTTCAAGGCCTGCTTCTCCAACTCGGCTCTGCCGGCCATGGTGCACAAGCCCTCAAGAGAAGACTATGAAATCTAAACAAAATCCTTTGCAGAGCCCATGCACAGCAATTCAATCGAAAGCTCAAGTTGATGCAGCCCATGCATGCAATGCAACGTTTCGGCAGGACCTCTGAAGCTGCGCTGGATCTGGGGCTGCTGCCGATTCTCATCTGCAGATGCTCGGGCGACCAGGCAGCACCTGCGCATTCAAGGTATGCATATACATCCAAGTACACACCGCAGAGTGCAGCACACCCACATGTACACATCGCTTTCACCACAGATGCTGCCGATGTCCTCTCCCCTCTGCCGAAGCTTCGTAAGAAGTCATAATCATGTGCCCCATTTAAAGCTGAAATGTAGCATTATATCGATTCACTCAAAAGCTCCAGCTGACTACAAATCCTAGTCTTGCTGGCTCACACTTTCCTCAGGCTCTGCGCCAGCACTTCGCTGATCTGAAGCGAGGGATTCCTGGGGCAGAGGGCAGTGATTATCGTACATGATTATCGTCATAGAACTATAACAAATAATTTCTCCTGATTCAAGCGATTGTTGCTACTACCCCTGTGTTTCAAGACGGGGCACGGCTGACGAGCCGTCCGTGAGGGATCCTGATCGATGGAAGGAGAGAAAACAATTGGGGAGGAAGTTCAGGGTATTGGGGAGGGAGTTCAGGGTTTCGGTCTTATAGGACTTCGGGTTGTGGCCATCAGAATCTGAAAGGTTTGTTGCAGTCCTGTCCGGTAGAAATGAGCAAGATCTCGAGCAAAACCATTGATGGCATAGTTGAGCAGCACCGTCTTCACCATTTTGGAGTCAACTTCGGCACCCTCCTGGAATATACTTAGGGAATGCTAATACCCTGGCAAAGCTTTCGAATTCTTTTAATAGGCCCAAGCAGTCCTGCCACCCTGGCACTAGCACGACGAAGGCCGTGTTCCAGAACTCCAGAGGCAAATCACTCAGACCTGCATCGAATCGTTTCTAGAAAGCCTGACAGGATACCGAAAACAATCCTTTCAAACTATAGATCGATCGAGGCCTTCATCTGTGAGCTGCCTGCGGAGCCCCAGGTCCAAGTCATCCCACCAGTTACTCATGAGAAAAAGCAGCTAAATCACTCAATCAGAAGCTTATGGCTGCAGCAAGGCGCCCAAAATACGTTCAAGAGCAGGCGCATGCATGTGTGCACAACCGGCTGCAACATCACAAAGGAAGCAGAGGGATGGTGGCACCTCAAAAGCCAAGCCGAAGGCACACAGCCATCGGCCAACCATGCAACAGCACAGCTGTGCAGCAGGGCTTATGGACACCCCTCTTTCCGTTCACATGTAAACCTGTCTTGCGAGGCAGCTTCTGAATCACTGAAATCTAGCATCTGAAGGAGCCTGGAAGTGAAAACGGACCTGTCTTCATGCACTCATGCTGAATCGGCCCTCTCTGAACAAATATCAGCCGGATTCGGGACACACAGCTACTTTCGGGCACAGGTCTATTCTAGACTATGAGACCGAAACAGAGAGTAGCGAAGGCGCACTAACAGACTAGCCCAAATTTTTGGGCTCGCAAGGAACACCAGGTAACCTCGAAGCCTCCTCACGGAACAGTGCACGAAACCGCGAAGGGCCCCACGGCCAGAATCTGTCAGAGTCACGCAAGGCTGGGAGCACCGCAGCCAAGGCACTGCTTTACTGGGCTTGCCCAGTTGAACTGTTGAAACCTTCGAATTTTGGGCGGCCGGGCGGGAAGAGATATTTTCAGTTTTGAGTTTTTCCAAGTTTCCGTTTTCAGCTCACTGTCTCTCAGTTTGACTCAGATCCTTTCAGTTCTCAGTGAGAATCCGTCTTTCCGATATGTTTAGGCTCAGTTTTAGTTTTTGGTAGTGTGGGGCAAAGGCTCCTTCGGACGTAGATGTCATGGCCAGAGCTGCAAGGGCAGGAGCTTGCGCTCCTTAAAGGGGCATTCGCGAACCCCAGGCAATTGCAGGCGGCTTTCGATAGTCGCGAGGAGGCGGCTGAACTAATCGAAGTGTTCTTGCCAGGCATCAACCGAGATGGGAAATATCAGAGAGCAGACGTTCTTGTGGCATGGGCACGGGAAAATGAATCAGTGATGAAGCGACAGCGAAGAGAGTCGTTGCAGGGCATGTGGGAGGTATTACCCCAGCAGCGTGTGACGCCGAAGCTGGCAGACACCTTCGATGAGCTGGCAAGGAGCAACCCGCTTGTCCTGCTACCGGCACTGCAGCGGAAGAGGCGCTTGCTTAGAGAAAATACCGACGCTACACAGCGAGCAAAGGAGGAGCAGCTGGCGAAGAAGAAGTATGCCTTACAACTGGCCGAGATACTTAAGCAGGCGAAGTTGCCATTGGTGCAACAGCTGGAGGGAGTGGACCGGCCCGAAGAAGTTTGGCCACGGATATTTGGAACCCGCAGGAGCAAAACGCTGCGAAACCGCTTAAAGGCCTGGGAACCCTTCAGGACATGGCTGCAGTGCGTCCATGAAGTGCAGTGGCCAACTAGCGTGCGGCAGCTGATTGATTATAGCAATGAGAGATATCAAAGCGAGTGTGGCAAGACAGTGCTGAACAGTTTCCAGGCGTCGCTGGCCGTCTTGGAGCAAGTGGGAAAGGTCGCAGAGACACAGCGGCTGTCGAATGATACAACTTGGATGGCACACTTGAAGTCGTTAACAGCAGACCTGGTGGGTGCGCAAGCACCTGTACAGCAAGCACCCATGATGACGGTGGCGATGATCATATCACTTGAACTGCACATTGCAAGAGAGGATGAACCAGAGTATGTACGGGCAATGGCATTCGTGGCGCTGCTGGCCGTGTATGGTTCAATGCGAATGGACGACTTGCAAGGGATGCTGCCGGCCACCATGCGGCTTACAGCACAGGGCTTCAAGGCCACTCTGGGACGCACCAAGACGACGGGCGCAGACCGTCGCAACAAGGAGGTCTCGGTCTTCATACACAGGCAGGCAGGATTGTCCGGGTTTGATTGGCTGGGTGAGGGCTTTGCGCTTTGGAAGAAGTATACTCAGCCGAGAGACTTCCTTGTCATGATCGCCAGGGACGATTGGAAAGGGCCAACTAAGCACTTTGCTAAGAGCGAGGTAGTTGCAGGCTATGTGCGTGAGGTCTTCAAGAGGCTAGCAACGCCGAAGTTTGAGGATGGGGCCTATCGCCTCAACTTGCAGAGGTACCTCTTGGTGGAAGGGGCCCAAGGCTTCTTCACGGGGCATAGCCCACGCAATTGGCTTACTTCAGCAGCTGCGGTGTTGGGATGGTCTAAGGATCAGAGGGATTTCTTGGGTCGTTGGATGATCGGTGGTTCGGGTTCTGCCGACTACACGCGCACTGCAAGGGAGGTTGTGCATCGCATACAGATTGGGGTCTGCGAAGCAATTGTCACCGGCAAGGGTGGCGAGTATCAAGAGAGTGAAGCCCTCGAAGAGCTAAAAGCCTTTGTGGACGAACGTGGAGGTTCAGGTGCATTGGCGAGGCGGCGGCATGATCTACTTAGGACTGTGGAAGGCGTACGCTGCTTGGGCACCAAGTGGCCTGCCATTGAGCAGGACGATGCAGATGCCAGCGAAGAAGAGGAGGCACCGGAAGCGATGAACGTTGAGGGTAGTGCCACAAAGTACTTCATTAGCATCAGTCGTAAGACGGGCCATCGCAGGCTGCACTTGAATGGGCCGTGCCATGTTAAGCCACATCATTGCAATAGGGTCGAGTTTGTCGAGCGTGTCGCATTGGATCAGATCGACAGCATTTGTCGTGATTGCAAGCATCGTATGAGGGAAGATCAAGGTGCCGAGGACGATCAGGACACAAGTAGCGAGAGCGGGTCCACAAGTGACTCGAGCTGCGAAGAGGGGTGAGAGTACGTTCGAAGCTTGGCGACAAATTGTGTGTTGCGGTAGGAGTGTGCTGTGTTCGAGGTGCGGCATGTACATGGCTGTTTGCATGGGTAGGTGCTCGCGTGAGGGAGTTTGGCTAAGGCAGCTTCGCAGGACCGTCGGCATGTTCGTGATTGTGAGAGATCCACGATTTTCAGTGTCAGTCACGAGTGCATGCAATTCTAAAATTACAGAGTTAGGAGCTGTGTGATTTTCAGTTGCCATGGGCTACCGCTGAGAGTGCGGTTTCAGTTGCACAGCACGGTGCTGTTTCAGATAGCATGGCGTTGCCCAGTGAGGCGGATCAGAGAGCAGAAGTGGCAAAGATGGATTCTGACTTGCAGTATGTGCTTCAGGAAGCCAGTGCGTCACTGGCCACGCAATATCAGGTTGCGCGGCTCCATCAGAGTCGCAGGCGATTCCAGGCGATCGCCGATAACCGCGAAGGTGCCCGGACAGCTGCACGTGATTTCGGGATTAATCCTGATACACCGGCGGGCCGTGTTGAGGTGGCAGCTATCGTAGCTGCGTGGGAACTTGCCAAGGAGTATGCCAGTAAAGAAATCGAGCTACGTGCAGAGGCGAAAGTTCTAGGCCATAAGAGAATCTTGCAAGTGCAGGAACGCCAAGCTATGCTGAAGGCAGTGACGGATGCATACGGGAAGATGAATGAAAGCGAGACGCCAAGTGCAGAGTACTTGGCAACAAAGGCCGAGGAGTGCGAGAGCAATGAGCCTCTCGCAAGTTCGCTTGATCGCATCTCTTCAAAGAAGGATTCGCAGGTGGAGAGTCTCCAGACTAGCATTGATCCGACCGGGCATGTTCGGGTGACAAAGACAATGCAGAAGTTGGAAATGCCACATCACTCAGAGGGCTATAGACGCTTGATGAAGGTCGAGGCACATGCATGGCTCTGCATGAGTGCACGGTTTAAGGCAAAGGCTTGGTTGCAAGGGCTTCAGCTTGATGATTTCACTAAGTTTGTTGAGTACATCTTGGGAGATCGTGTTGGCAACCTAAAGTTGCCCACTGCTTCAGGGCAAGAGACGCAGTTCCACAGGCCTCCTTGGAACATCGTCTTGAGTTATGAATATAAGTTGAGGGTTGAAGCTTTCAAGATGATCCTGGAGGGAACCGCCACCATGGCAGAGGCACTTCGGGCAGTGCGTGAGGATCCATCGCTGAAAGAGGCTTACTTTACAACACCTCTGGCATTGCACACAGCTGGTACGCCTACCAAGTTTCGGAAGGGCAACAGCAAAGGAAAGGATAAGCAGCAAGGGCAAGAGATTCCACCGCCGCCAGCGCCGCATCAGAACGGTCGTGGAGCAGGGAAAGGCAAAGGCAAGAAAGGCAAGGGCCAGGTTGTCTTGTCAAATGGGAAACAGCTTGCACTTGTGTCAGCGACTCCTGACGGCCGTCAGTTGTGTTATGCATACAACCACCAGGGCTGTACTGATCCGAAGTGCGCACGTGTGCATGCGTGTCGTGTTGCAGGGTGTTTCGGCGAGCACCCGGCCTCGCAGCACGAAGCCGCGACAGCGGGTAAGTGACAGAGTTGCGCTCAGCAGGGGGCGCATGGGCACCATCTGCCGTTGCTGTCAGGCCAACCTGTGGCATCAAGGGTGGTTCATGTCTTTGCAGATCCTGCTGAGCGCTTTGATTGGGCACCGCATCTCAGCAATAGCATGTCGCAGCCAGAATTCGTCGCTTTTGGATTTGATGCAAACAACCTGTTTTGTGGTGATGCTTGGGATCAGTTGTTTGAGCTTGTGAAACAACCGAAAACCGTGATCTTGATTTCGCCTCCTTATGATACTTTTAGTCGGGCGAGGCATAAGCAACCTGGGCCACCGCCACTTCGCAGTGACCAGTGGCCCAGAGGTTTTCCATGGCTTAAGGATTCGTCTATGCAGAAGGTGACTTCTGCCAATCATTTTATCGACCAGTGTTTGAAAGCAACAGTTTTCGCGGCCGAGGCTGGCAATTTCTTCATGTGGGAAGCGCCGGAACACTTCGGCCGCACCGCTGATGGCATTGTGCCGAGCTCCATTTGGGTTTGGCCTGAATTACTTGACTGCATTCCGCGTTTTGCGGCCACAACCTTTGTGCATTACTTATGCGAGTTCGGGGCGGACTGGGCCAAACCGACGCGTTACTTGAGCAATTTGCCTTTCTTCCGTCACTCCCCAAGGCCCTTGACGGGGTTGCCGGTGCTGGATGCGGATCACCGCTACGTTGGGCCGCTGCCCGCGTCGTGCCCGCATGGGGGTCACGCGATTAGCACTGGCAAATCACCAACTACGCAGCAGTGGAACTTGCCGCGAGCCCGCGGCTGGCCCCCTCAGTTGTGTCAATTCATAGTAGCAGCCATCGACTTCTCGCTGCAAGCAGATGGGGAATGCAAATCCTCTAAGTCGAAGCTTCCTGACAAGGCAATTAAGGTCCCCGATGTGCTGGGTGGGCACGCTAAGGTTCCTCCCGTGCCCGTCGTTTCAGGTTCTGACCCTAAGGTTCCTCCCGTGCCCGTCGTTTCAGGTTCTGACCCATCCTCGCCTTCAGGTTGCAGTGCCGCGGCTGCTCCTTCTTCCCAGTCAGGTTGTAGGTCCCCTAAGGCCACGGTGGTTCACCCTTCCCGTTCGGGTTTTAGTTCCTCTTCGCTTCCTGTGAAGTCCACCTGCGATCCCGAGAGTGCCGCATCACAACTGCTGGCGGCGCCAGGTCCGCTAGAACGTCGCCGTGTGTTAGAGTTATTTGACATGCTTCCCCGCGAGGAGCCGCCTAGGGAATCGACTTCACCTGCACCGGGCAGGGCTTTCGCTACGGGCGCTTACTGTAAGGGTGGCTTAGTCGGTTTGAGGCATCATTCAACTGCGATGCCTATGTCGACGCGGGTTCTAACGAAGTACTTGCAGCAGGTTGCACCTGGCTTTCAAGCATCCGCTATCGCGATCTTCGATGATGTCAGGACGGGTGTCCACCGTGATGCTCGGAATGCACACTATCCGAACATGGTAGTGCCGTTATCCGACTTTGAAGGTGGCCAGATCTGGCTGGAACAGCAAGGAGGCGACGTTTGGGAGACAACGCCAGAAGGGCAGAGACCGGGTGTCCTCTTGGAGGTTTGTAAGGGTCCTGTAAGCTTCGATGCCTGGCGGTCGTACCACGCTACGCGGGCGTGGAAGGGCCGTCGGGTGGTGATGGTAGCTTACATGACTGACAAGCTTGGCAATGTTGAGGCTTCCGACTTAGTTCACCTTAAGGCATTGGGCTTTGAGTTACCACTTGACTTGGCTGCATCGAATGGGGAGACTTCCGAAGCTCTGGGTACCGCCGAGGGCCCAAGCACACGAGACACAGCACCACCCGTGCCGTTCAGACCAGAGGCGTGCGGGAACCGAGGCAACCCCATTCGTGTTGAGTGGGAAGGTCAGGAGGCTGACATGACAGACGGGTTCGGGCTGTGTTCCCCTCGCGATGGAGGCCGATGGATCCCCGGGGCGATGGAGGCCGATGGATCGGGGGCATCGCCTGGGCCCAGCGGCTACTGCACATGCACAATCCATGTACCGGATGCTTACGAGCTTCATCGCCGAGCATGTACCTGATCCCCGGCGCTTCTGCTTGAGCCTACTTTCAGGAAAGATCGAATCCTCTCCATTCGCTGGGGAGAAGTTGGAAGCCCTGCGCAAACAGTGGGTCAAGGTGCTGGGTGCAGAAGACAGTCCCGACGTGCTTGAGATCCCGGATGCGCAGCCCTTCTTGCTAAGGGCCTTGTCGCTTTCAGCCGAAAGACTTGAGGATCCAGACTGGGAGATTTTAACGGAGGGAGTTGACTGTTTCTGTACCGGGGTCCCCTTAGGTCTTAATTGCGACATACCACACTTGCCGCAGGTGTATGAAAGGAAGTGCCAGTGGCGTAAGCTTGATGAGTCAGAGTTGGAATTTGACCGGGAAAATTATAAGAGTGCCGAGTTGAGCTCCGCCGGGCTCCTCGAAAAGTTTCGTGCAGAAGAAAAACTTGGACGGATGAAACCGACAACACTCGGAGCCTTGCGTGAGGAGTACAGTGACGACATGATCCGCGTGGCCTCAATGGGGGCAATCCTCAAACCCGATGGCAGTGTGCGGCCATTACATGATGGAACGCACGGTGTCAATGTCAACAACCAGATACGCTTGGTGAATCAGTTAGCAGTTCCAGGTCCGGCAGAAATGTCATTTTCAGTTCGGCAATCAGGTGCTATGCAAGAGATTCCCTTGGCCGCGACCGCGGACGTGAGTGCTGCACACAGGTTGGTCTTGCATCGGAAGAGTGACTGGGCCTTGATGTCATGCAGGGCAGAGCAAGGGTCTGACACGATTTGGATCAATAAGGTAGGAACGTTTGGGCTTAGCCCAGCTTCCTTTTGGTGGAGCAGGTTGTATGGAATCATAGGCAGAGTGGTCACCCGTTGCCTACTGCAGCACGCCTTTTACCACTTCGCTTATGTGGATGATGTGCATCCCACTTTCTACGGGAAGCGGATGTACATCAACTTCCTGGTTTGGCTGATCCTTCAAGAAATGATAGGGGTGCCCTTCGCTTACCATAAGTTTAAGGGGAAAACGCTTGTCGCTTTCATAGGATACGAGCTTGACTATGGCGCCAGACTGGTGGGACTTAGCGAAGCCCGAGGTGCCTGGGTGTGCAACTGGGTCGATGAGGCACGGAAGGCGCGCTTCGTCGTCTCTGTCAGGAAGTTTGCAGAGTTTCTCGGGAGACTTGGGTTCGTGTCTAGGGTTGTGTACTGGATCAAACCACATTTGGCCCCCTTGTATGCTTGGTCAGCTGCGGCTTCGAAGAGCCATGTTGCAAAAATGCCGGACACGGTTATTCTGACTTTGCTCTACTTGGAGGCAACGCTTAAAGACATCAACTTCAAGGTCACACCGGGCCGACAACAGGAAGAGAAAGGGCATCTCTTCCACACGGATGCGAAATGCGATGATGGTTATGTTGTCCTAGGAGGTTGGGACTCTAGCCAGGACCTTTCGGTCGCTTCTTGGTTCTCCATAGTGGTGAAGCCTGCGGATGCACCGTACCTTTTCGACGCAGCGGGAAAATCACAATGGGCGTCAGCATCCGCCGAACTTTTAGCAACATTAGCTGCTTTGTGGTTCTTCGGACACCTTAAGGAGAGTAGTTCGCAGAGGCGACTCCCCGTCGCCATTGCCGGGGCCACTGACAATCAGAGCAACGAGAAGCTTCTTAAGAAACAGTCCACTACCAAGTGGCCGCTCATGCTCATCAACATGCAGCTCTCACATCTCCTAAGAAAGGCTTGTCTGAGGCTCAGCTTGACTTGGAAACCACGTGACGAAAATAAGTTGGCAGATGCTCTGACAAATCAGGATTTCAGCTCTTTCAGTTCCGAACACCGTTTGGATGTCAGTTTCAGCGAGCTACCACTTGAGCTCTTGAATCAGTTGTGGTTGTCGAAGTCCGACTTCGATGCGTCTCGTAAGGCGCTGCAGTCTGCAAGTAATTTTCTGCCTCATGTCCCGAAGAGGAAGCGCGAAGGCACACCCTGGTGACTCAGGGAGAGGGGGCGAGGCTACGCACACCAGATGTGCCTGCCTTCCCTCCGACGAGGGGACATTCACCACCATCCGAGAAAAAGAGTCTTCGTCCGAGTGCTGAAGGATTGATTTTATACTTCCTTTATACATATGACTCTGACGTGCATATATTCATCCAAGTTTGAAGGATCGATTTTAGTAGAAGGTTTAGCGTTCGGCTCAAACCTCAAAACGAGAAGGGGAAAACAGGCTTTACTGGGCTTGCCCAGTTGAACTGTTGAAACCTTCGAATTTTGGGCGGCCGGGCGGGAAGAGATATTTTCAGTTTTGAGTTTTTCCAAGTTTCCGTTTTCAGCTCACTGTCTCTCAGTTTGACTCAGATCCTTTCAGTTCTCAGTGAGAATCCGTCTTTCCGATATGTTTAGGCTCAGTTTTAGTTTTTGGTACCCACCCAACCCACCCTGTATGGGAAGGGGTCGGACCAACCTTGGTCTCACCGGGGGGCGAGGCTACGCACACCAGATGTGCCTGCCTTCCCTCCGACGAGGGGACATTCACCACCATCCGAGAAAAAGAGTCTTCGTCCGAGTGCTGAAGGATTGATTTTATACTTCCTTTATACATATGACTCTGACGTGCATATATTCATCCAAGTTTGAAGGATCGATTTTAGTAGAAGGTTTAGCGTTCGGCTCAAACCTCAAAACGAGAAGGGGAAAACAGGCAACAAGGTTCATGCTCAATTAGAACGAACTGGTGACGACTGAGGTGCCGCCGATTCTTGGGTGCTTCTATGCGTAACACAGCACCTCGGGCAGCAAACACCCATGAGTCAGGAAGTGCGATGTCCGCTGCGAGCAAGCCACATATTTCGCCAGGGCGCAACAACCCGAAGGACCCTAACTCAAGGCCTATAGCAAAACGAAAGCAAAGCTGACTAGTCCGACGGCGCAAGGTTGCTTGAGCGCGTGCGTAGACAACAAAGGCTGCCAGCACCGACAAGGGAAGGGGCGGCCGCACTCGGATGACCGAGGCCTCCTCCCATGCGGCCAGGGTTTGCCAAGCCAAGTGAAGCCTTCTTCGAAAGTGCGGGTACAGCTGCTGCACGGCCAACACTGCGTGCTTTGCCACGCCTTGCGACTTCGGCCCTCGCGTTTCATACATCCAGTTGACAAAGTTTTCCAAAGCAGTGTCCAGAGAGCGTCTCCGCTTGGCAAGTTGTCTGAGAGAGGCACCTTCATGAGACAAGTACGTGCAGAGCGCACGGTAGCCAAGCAGAAGACGTCTCTTGTATGGCACTGACAGCTGGCTGCCGCGCAGCGGCATGCGGGGCACGACTCTTGGCTGGACTAAACCAAAAAACTACTGAATTAGAGACCGCTTGAAGGAATTCAGAGCACAATCATCTACTTGGAAGCCTGAAAGGTTCTTCCACGAAGCTCGATCATGTTACTGTCCGTGCAGTTGCAAAACAGTTTTGAAGCGATTCGTTACGAGGCAGCTCAGCAACACGCACAAGAGCAGTCAACGCAGCACTGCCGCTGTTTTACACTGAGCCGCTCGCAGTTGCCTGCGCACGGGCTTCGCCTGCAAGGCTTGCAACTCGGTCTGGGAAAGGAAGGCTTTCAAGCCTGCAGGCGGTGCTTGGGGCTCGGGCATAGGAGCATTAGTTGATGGATGGTCAGCAGGGTTTTTGCTAGTACCTACCCAAACATGAACCAGGCACTTACGACCTGCAACAGAGTGGCTAACAACCCTACGCAACAAAGCGTTTAGCTTTCTAGACGAACTTCTTCCCTTCGCCCAGGCACCGCAGACAACACGCGAACCGCAAAGGTTCACTATGCGCAGACCAGCATCACTCTGTTTGATCGAGGCTTTAAGCTGCTTGACAGCAACTTTCATTTCTTGCACGTTGATGTGGGAAACCACTTTGAACTTCGACCTCTCAGTGACGCGCCAGCGTGCGCAAAGCAAGGCATCCTCTAGGTCTTCTGGTGCTTGCACCATACTAGTCAACGCCTGAAGGCGCCCTATGGCCCAATCAAGCCGCACTGCTTCGCCCTTGTGCACCGCATAACAAAGGTCAGCTAGCTTACGGGGAACCTGCGCTACAGCTCGGCCAGCATGGGTCGGGGTTGCGTCGGTGGCTGATGACGGTCGACAGTGGGCATCGCACACAAGAGTGCGCGAAGGGCCACAACACTTCCTCTTGACACTTCTGAGGAAGGGGAGACAGCTTGGACTTTGGCAGCTTTTCTATGG